TGTTATAATTTTTTTTAGTATATTACTTGTGTGGTGTAGAAGAGAATTATTTATGTAGAGATACTGCTTGCAAACCAATGATGTAAGATGATGTCATGGGGTAGGACTGGATAAGTCTGACTTCTTCCTCCTCCATTCAAGCATGTACTAGGTATAAGCAAATTGATATTGGATTAGCATTTGTTGGATATGTGTAAAATTATGTGTGTTGACATATCAACTGTCTTTACATGCTTGAAAGAATAAATCAAATCAAATCAAATAAGCTGTAATTTTTAAACTATCCATATTGGATGTGCACTATGCTGTGCCTGAAATAAACTATATGAAGGCTGTGTCCTTCTATTGAAAACAGTTTATGAATAATTGCATTAAGATAATGCAACATTTAGGGCTGAAAATAGATTGCTCAGGCGCTGATCTCCAATGCTGATTGTTTTGGTGTAACAATCTATTAATCATGCCACCAGTGGCGTCCTCCAGAGTGTTACATAACTGTAAGCTTGTGCTATATTTAAAATGAGAGAATAAAGAAGCCCACATCAGCCCATCGAAGCATGATGTTTAACTGAAAACAGCACTACTGCAGATACACACCTCTTGACAGTGTTATCTTCATAGCTGGAACTTGCATGTCCAGTAGGCATACTCATCCCATGACATCCCGTGACTAAATATAAGCTAAAACTGTGCTGTTGCATGCCACAGTTATCCTTGCATACTGATCACCGTATGTATAGAAGGCCAGTGCCAGGCATCTTGATGATGGAGTGGTGTCAACGGGTTGTCAGGATCACTAACATTTTAATGTAAGCATCTCAAAGAAAGTGTATATCAGAACAATGTGACTCTTAAAGCAGAAATTTGCCTTCATACTCGAGCACCATTAAAAAATAGAAGCACCTATTCAAAATAAGAGCAGTCATATTTTTTCATGAAAACATGGCTTAGTTGAGTTATGTCTGGCTCCAGATTTAAATACGTTCCTTTGGTTTGTCCCTCCCTTAATTTTTTGATAGAACTTTTTATTTTATAATAACTACAAATGCCTTTTTAATTACACAAGTTGTGATAAAGGTGCAGATGCAGTTTTTAGGTAGCAGGTACTACAGGGTGGGTGAAAAGTAACTAGGCATTAAAATTGGCTGTAGAACTTGTAGTATTATTGGAGTCATGATGAAAAGTCTCTAAATAGACAATAGTAAATAGGATTTCATATTTCACACAGAGTCCGTGTTACACAAAATCCATATTTCACACAGAAATATGGACTTTGTTGCCAATTTTTAATGCCTAGTTACTTTTCACCCACCCATATAAAGGCATAGCCACCTGAAAAAGTTTGTAATATTTCAGGATACTTTTGTTTACCTTGCTCACTTACCATCTTTGTCAGTGTGTGTGCTGCTGTTTCTTTGTTTAAAGCAGATATCGATACATGAGTTGGTATCAGCATCAGTCTTGTAGATATCTGTGTCCATCCATGAATTCAGAGACACTTGAATTATGAAAAATTCAGAATGGTGATTAACATTAATTGAAGTTGATAGTATGGTTTATGAGTTCTACCAGGACAGAAACCTAAAAATCTTTCCTTTGCTGACATCAAGGCCAACCAAGATACTTCTGTGGCAGTTACGCCAGAGCACACATCATTCTCAGATGACATAATACAAATCGATCTGTCAGGGGTGTAAACATCAGGTGTCTGGTCCATGTAGCTGTCCTGTGATGTCCTGCTCTGTTGCTACTTCTTGTGGACAGTTACTTGTAATGCTTTAAGCAAGTTTTTGATGTGTTTAATTCATAGGGTAGATGCTAATGAAAGTTATAATTCTGGAAAATATGTCCAACATTTCTATACCCTGAAGCATTTTTTATATAGGAATGCATTTCCATAATTAAATGAAGTTCTTAGTTTAGGCAGGAAGGAATATGTCAGCGAATGTGTTCCTAATGATGTCTGTGATATGTCAGCGAATGTGTCCCTAATGATGTCTGTGGTGGCGGGTGTGTTTGTCCATCAGGCAGCCAGCCAATCCCAGAACTCAACAACAGCCACCGCTAGAAGCATCGCCTCAGGGGCCTGAGGAACCTGAGGAGATTCTTGGCTCTGATGATGAGGAGCAAGAGGACCCTAATGACTACTGCAAAGGTGAGTCCCCTCTTACAGTGTTCATGCTCACTTGTAACACAATTGTTGTGAACAACAAAGCCTTTGAATGGTTTTTAGTAAACAAAATTTCCCAGTGACTAAGTTTGAGTTTAATGTCTAAATTTATCTAAGATAGTTTAGTCAAACCTTTTTTATTTTGTAATCAGTTATTATAGCTTGTGTAAATGCTGTGGCTCTTTTATTTCCCTTTGCTTGTTGAACTGTCTAGTCAGTGTGCATTTTGTTCCCTTCTAGGTGGTTACCATCATGTGAAAGTAGGAGACCTATACAATGGAAAATACCATGTAATCCGGAAACTGGGCTGGGGCCACTTCTCCACTGTGTGGCTCGCCTGGGACATCCAGTATGAGAACTTTTCTGCACGTTGTAACTGCACAGTTTTGTTTTTTAAACCTGAATTTGGATAACAGAATAGCAGCTGAATCAGAGATTGTTGTGGTAGTACCTTGAATGGTGCTTCCTGTTGGCAAACATTACTTGCTCTGTGGTTGCAGGATGAAGAGGTTTGTTGCAATGAAGGTGGTGAAGAGTGCAGAGCACTACACAGAGACAGCAGTGGATGAAATCAAGCTCCTCAGATCTGTAAGTAGCTGAAGTAATTACACAGGTTCTCTGAGCTGAAATCACATAAATAAGGAAGCGTTTTGGAAGTACACAAATATTTACTATAGATACCAGTGCAGACTCAACAGCCAATTTATGCTAATATATACTCAACAGAATCTTTTTTATAGTGCAGGCCATTACACTGTATGTAATTTGTGCCCACACCTAACATAACAGTGTATCAGCTTACAACCTTCTAGGCATGCGTGTTCAAGCAGTATTACATGGTTACAGATAGAGGCATGTATGCAGTTTCCTGTGTTGGTCAGTATAACATTAGTAAGTGTAAATCCAGATTGTTTCAACTACATTATTCCCTTTCCTTTTCCCCAGGTAAGAAACTCAGACCCTAATGATCCTAACCGAGAGATGGTGGTCCAGCTGCTAGATGACTTCAAGATCTCTGGTATCAATGGAACTCGTATCCTTAAAAGCCAAATATTGCAAATGTTGCATGGTCTTTTATAATTAATATTTGATCAATTTCATTGCTTCCTATTGCAAAGACTAAAGATCCTTCTTTCTTTTGATGTCAAATTTAGCTGGAAATCAGTATGCAGGTAACACGGTAAACAACAGATGAGGACTGTAGTAAATGGAAATTTGTGTGTTCCAAACAGACCTACACCTGTCATAATGCTGAGTCAGACACCCCCTGCTAAATTCCACAGGGATAGCTCAAGCTGTAATATGAGACACTCTAACGGTGATGTTGTTTCCAATACTCCCTCCCCACATTTCTGTATAAATAATGCTACTTTTTGTGTGGTTGAATGACCACAGTGCCTCAACATGTCTAGTAAATTGTTTTCCTCCTAATGACTTTTCAGTTTTAATTTACTTATATTGAATTGTTACTGTCTTGACTACTGGGATCTTCAGATGTTTGCATGGTGTTTGAGGTGCTGGGACATCACTTATTAAAATGGATAATAAAATCAAATTACCAAGGACTGCCTCTGCCGTGTGTGAAGAGCATCATACAACAGGTAACATGAGACTCATGGTATTACACCTTTTGTATGCCAGTGACTTGTGAAGGAGATTAAGTCATAGCTTCCACAACTTCACAAGAGCCGTGGAGCCTCCAGGTTGTGTGATGGGTGGAACCAAGTCAAGCCAGAGCATAATGTGATAACTGAACTTATGATCAGTGAACAAGTCAGACCTGCCTCTTAACACAACAAATGGAGTGAGGGAAAAAAATGTGAGGTGTTGGCATTTTAAGAAGGAGTAACAAATTCAGAATTATTTCTATATGTGTACATTTAGAATAAGCATTATTTTTATTGATGCTTGATAATTTAATGTACATCTTAAATCATTACCTAAAATGGCAATTTACTAAAATTTTACTTTGATTGGCTCACAATGTTTTCCTAAGAGGCATGAGTACATCAACCATTTGTTCATATACTTTAACTGTGTGGAAAATTGAAAGACACGATGCAGATAGATAGAAAAGACAGGGAAAAGGATATTTATTAAATGTTTATTTCAGTTCAGCTCAACTGTTTAACTTTGACAGCCAGGTAATCGTTTTCCATACATTCATTTTCCAGGTACTCCAAGGGCTGGACTACCTGCACACAAGGTGTCAGATCATCCATACAGACATCAAGCCGGAAAACATCCTTATGAGTGTTGATGAGCCTTATGTCCGTAAGCTCGCAGCAGAGGCCACAGAGTGGCAGAGGGCTGGGGCACCGCCTCCCTCTGGTTCAGCAAGTATGAGACACACAGACACCACACATATGTTCATATTTACTTTCATAAGCACAGTTTTTAACAGTTTGTGCTCCTTTCTTTTCAGTAAGCACAGCACCTGCTCCAAAACAGGTATAGTTGATCGATCTGTCTAATATATCTATTTCTCTCTCTCTCGCACATTTTCACTGTAACATACTGTTAAAATACTCCCCAAAACATGCAGCTGTCAATGAGAGCCTCCTTTCTGACAGCCCTGTTTCATGTGTTCATCTCTGACAGACAGTAAAAATGTCCAAGAACAAGAAGAAAAAGTTAAAAAAGAAGCAGAAGCGTAAAGCGGCGCTGTTGGAAAAGTGCATCATGGACCTGGAGGAAATGGAAAAGACCACAGAGACACGAGAGGAGGAAGATGATGAAGAGGAGGATCCGCAATCCCCAAAGGGACGAGTGTGTGCTCCTCTCAGACAGGTGTCTCTTCAGGAGCTAGGAAATGAGGAAAGAGAGGGTAAGCAGTCAACATCACAAGAATAATGTGCTAATATATGTGATTCTTAATAATTTGTTGCTGTTAGTAAAGTTATGTTGTGGTTGTAAGAATGAAAAAATGATCTGTCCTTTTCTGATAGGGTTAGAGAGAAGAGAGCATTCAGTTCTCCTGAGGGTGGGACCAGAAGGGCTGCCGGAGATGAACTGTAATGGCCATGTGGAGGAGGAAGAGCAGAGGCAGCCCGAGTGGACTGAGGACCAATACAATGGCAACGCAAACCCCTCAGAGAAATGTGTCAGTGAGGAGCAGCAATACAAGGAGTCCCCTGTCCTCCCCATGTGCAACGGTGTGGACTGTGCAGATCTCAATGAGCTGGACACTGAAACTGAAGGCACGGGTGCTCACAGCAGTGGAGTTACTGAGAGACACCTTCCTGCCGGGATAGAGGAGGGAGAGCTGGAACAAAGCATTTTGCAGGAGGAGGGAGAGGATGAGTCTGACTGTCACTATGGAACCCAGGAAAGCCTGAGAAATGGTCAGTCACCCAAAATCAGTACGTCTACAAATTTCAGAGATGTTTTGTGGCAGCTCTTTGTTCTGGGTGGCCTGCTTTGGAAGTTTGATAAAGGCTCAGCCTTGTGAACTTTTAAATGTTAATTGATTTGCTTATATTAAATGCCTAGACCACCCTTATCTCTTTGCCTCTCTCCTTGCCCTCCTGTAGGCAAGCTACCAGCAGGATCCCTGCTCATCAACCCCCTTGAGCCACTCAATGCAGACAAGATCAAGGTCAAGATCGCAGACTTGGGAAATGCCTGCTGGGTGGTGAGTACTCTGCTAATGACCTGAGGGATTTCCTGAGTAGGGATGAAGCCTTGCAGCTCAGGACACGTACATTGTCATCTAAAGTGACGACAACTACAACAAAAATAGACATACTTCAGTCTTTCAATGCTTTGTTTTTGTATGGTAGCTTTGAAGTTTGTTGCACTTCTCTGGCGTCTCTCATTATACCAGGACAACGCTCGGTAGGCTCAGTTCCCCATTGTGTTTTTAGGATTTCTTTGTTCTTCTGTGTCTCTTTCTCTCAGCATAAACACTTTACGGAAGACATCCAGACACGGCAATACCGGTCCTTAGAGGTGCTCATTGGTTCTGGGTACAGCACACCGGCTGATATATGGAGCACAGCCTGCATGGTGAGAGGTTGCACATGAGACTAACATGTACTCTATTAAAACCTAATACAAAAAAAAATCTGTTTCTCAGAAAGACCTCAAAATAGCTGTATGAGAGTGTAGCAAGTCAAGGGAGGGAGTAAATGTACCCCTTTGTACACTTCTGTTCCTGTGTTTGTAATGAACATGTTGTCTCCTCAGGCCTTTGAGCTTGCCACAGGGGACTACTTGTTTGAACCACATTCTGGGGAAGATTATTCCAGGGATGAAGGTATTGCCAGGACTTCCTCTTCCTCTCCATTGTCTGTTTTATCCAGTTACCAGCATTAATGTTGTTAAATTTAGTAGTATTTTGAAATGAATGATTTACTGCTAGGAGGTTTTAGCGTTGTTGGTAAGTCCTAACAGCTGTTGCTGCTATGAAAAGCTTCATTACTTTTTTCTCGTTAAATTTGTCCTCGTTGGCAATTTATTGTTAATTATTCAAAACGCCTCATCTATGAAGAGTTTCACAGTGAGCATGACAAGTTGACCTTTTGAAATTGTGCAGTTGGTAGAAGAAGCAGAAGTACATCCAGTGTGCTAAACTACAGCTGAATTTGGTTGAGGTTCTTCACCTCTGAGAAGCTTCTTCATTTCTGACTGGCTGGTGGGAGTCCCGGGCATCTAACTTCTGCGGAGTGTTTTACACACTGAGGGCCATTGAAGTCACATGAGTCATGGTGTGAATGGGTGGTATGTTGCCTGGGGAGTGATGTCAGGTCTGCATTGTGTTGTAGACCACCTCTTCTGTTTATTGGTGGTCGTTCGAGGTTGACCTGGCTTCTTTAACCGGTCTCTCAAAGCAACACTAAACAGAGGGAGTGGTCTGTGACACCGCTTATCAGCCACTTATGGTGCACTCCTCACATCCCTCCCCAGGCAGTTTAACACCCATCCTCACTTTGACTCTTGTAACCCTGATGGCACACTTGATGGCCGGGTAGGGCAGCAACCTACACATGATTACATTGTGTTAGACTCCATTCAGGCTGAGTTTCAAAGGTGTGAAAAAACGCAGCCCTTTCTGTTCATTTGGGGAATTGCATTCACCACAGCTGGCACCAGCAAAACAACACAGCCCCATGCAGTGAAAAAGTTGGAACAGGTTAAACTTCTGCTGCACCGGATGGTGACATCCTCCAGCAAAGGATCTGCAATGATCAGTCACATATGGGGGATGATCGGAACATGGACACCCACAGGAAGAAGACCTTTGTTTTGCCTTGTTAGCATGAGCATTCTCTGAGCACTCTTGAATTAGGGCCACAGCTAACACACTATAACAATTTGCCATGTGTTTTTGTTAGTAACTGAACTGGATTAAAAAAAAATTTTTTTAATCTATTAATGCCAGCACACTGGTGGTGGAATTGGTGCTAAGGCTGTGTTAGCAGCATGGTTAACCAAAACACAATGGAAACACACATGCTAGTATTGTGAACAAAGTCACTCTTGTCAAATTGTCACAATGTGGCCATATCGTACACACCTATAACACTCAGCCCCTCACCCCCATGACCATCATACCCGTTGCATAGAAACACAGCAGGGTGTTGTGATTTATCGCCCTCAGTCTGCCCACTAGTAGTTAGATGCCTGGGACTCCGCACCAGTCAGTCTGAACTGAAGCTTTTTTAGCACTTTGGACATAACATGACCTTGATGACTGAGAGTCTCCACAGACACAAGCTGAAGTGCACTCTGCTTAATTTTTCCTAGTGTTAACACTTAAATGTGGTACTCCATTACAGTGATTTCAAATGGTCTCACATTTAGAAGAAATTTGAACCATGTGATGATGAGTACCAACATTCCTGTGCTTATTTCCTCTCTTAACACCTGAAACCACACTGTTGCTGCGCTGGACATGGGGCCATCTCTTCATTTCCTTACTCATCTTTTTTCATCTCCTCATCACTCACTCTCCACATTTTCTTGTTCACTACCTGATGCTTTCTTTGTTCATTTTGACTTGCTGCTTAGCTTGAGGTTTCTGTACTGATTTTGCTATGGCATGTCAGGTATGTACTGAGACTTAACCTTCAGTTTATTGACATATCCAGCAGCTGTGAATCTGCTTTCTCACCAGCAGCACCAGTGTATTGCTTAATATTCTACTACTGCTTTCTGTTGTGACTGTCAGCTATTGGATTTTTTTTTTATTAATCACTCATCCTGTAACAGAATCAGGTGTACATCTTTTATTGGCTTTGAAGGCTGTGCTTGAATCCTTATTGTCACTGTGACTCAATCTTCAAGGTTTGTTATCATATCGGAATGTGAATGACCTACATGTTTGATGTGAAATAACTACCCATACCTGTGCTTCTTGTCATACTAGGCTGTCATCATCCATTGATCCTAATACATTATTCCACATGACCATTTTCCATCTCTCCCCTATCCTGTTTACCATTTCATCCTCTCTTCCTCTCTCCAAAATGTTTTCCCTTTACTTCCCATCTTCCCTCTCTCCCTCTGATGTGCCTCATTTCCAGACCATCTAGCTCTCATGATTGAGTTGCTTGGTAAAATCCCTCGTCAGTATGCTCAGAGCGGGAAATACTCACAGGAATACTTCACCAAGAGAGGTACGCCACCTGTCTGCCTGTGGCCCGCTCTGGGGACGGTGGTGGATGGCGGGGTGACGGGTAATGGTTTGTCAGCACATTCAGATTTACCAGAGCTGTTAGGAAAACAGACATGGCAAAGAACACAGACCAATAAATGTCTTTTACTTTGAACAGTGCCATCAGACATTGATTCAAGTATCAGCCAAAAATTGCCCTGCAGAGGTACATTCAGTTCCTCCTTAGTAGCCAGTGGACTTAGATGGATACTTGGTACTGTATTAATCTCTGTTCTCAGGACTTTTTCAGGGAAAGGTCGACCACAATAGTGGTTTGATAAACACATTTTATAAAACACATTTAATTTTATCTAATAAAATTATTAAATCACAGAAACAGAAGAAACTGTTGAAGTCAAAGTTATAATTGACTTCGTTAATTATAGATCTGAGGTGTACAAGATTTGAATATCAGAATATAAAATGTTTTATGTGACATAAAATTATGTGTTGGTGTTTACAACAGTTTGATATTTGTATTGTTTTAGGGCACAGATTCAGAGATTTTCATTTTATCTGAAATATGATGAACCTCTGCATTTACTCTTTAATTCTGTGAAAATGTAAATGAAGCTATGATATAAATGATTTCAACAGATGTATAACCATGATAAATACTTTTGATTTCAATATATGTATAACATCAAAGATTTATAAGATAAATTTCACATCTGTAGTTCTAGGTGATGAAGCACTGTATAACCTTGAACCTGATGTGAGCAACTGAGATGTTTAATATTTGAATATATAAAGAGTTTAGGGACACGCCTGTTTACACACTTGACGGCTGATCACAGCTCTCAGAAAGATCAGAACTACCGATCCTGGTTGCAGTGTGAGTTTGTCATCGCCAATATATGAATTCAGTTTGTGTCTCATCCAGTGTCTGCAGTGGCAAAACAAGCTTCTGATTGTTGTTAAGAATTGGTCTGTGCACCCTAATCCCTGTGATGACGTGGCCTGTGAATGTGCAGTCAGCCTGACCCCTCTTTTCCTCAGCCTTCCACCCACGCACCCAGAGTGGCCTGTGTCCGGGACACTGTCTGATCAATCTGTTGTCTTGTCTGTTTTCCCCTTTCCTCTTGCAACCGTCTGCCATGCAGACCATATAGCTCTGATCATTGAGCTGCTGGGGAGTGTCCCACGCAGGCTCATAACTACTGGCAAATATTCCAAGGATTTTTTCACCAAGAAAGGTAAAAAAGAAAGTATTAGTGTGAAGATTTATGAGCTTGGAGTGAATTTTCTTGGTGTCCTTTATCTTGCTCTAGTGTTGCAGTAGTGTTAACTTCATGTTAACGTGCATTGATAAAACCTGTTGCAACATTAAATGTGAACAAAAGAAATGTTTGTGTTGAAAACGAATTTACAGGTAAAATGTGGTTTCTGTGTGTAATATCTAGCTATTTAGTTCCAGAAGTAACTGTCTTAACATTGATGTACTGTATTAGTTTTATTCTTTTGTAGTACTTTGCTTTTCCTTATTTTTTCACGTGTGTATATATACATATATATTTACAATTGTGCACCACGTGACCAAGACAAATTCCTTGTATGTGAAAACCTACCTGACAGTAAACCTGTTTCCTGTGTCTGATATAGTCCTGTTTGGCTGGTTTGTGTGCAGGTGATTTGAAACACATCACCAAGCTGAAGCCGTGGGGCCTGCTGGAGGTGCTTGTTGACAAGTACGAGTGGCCCCATGAAGAAGCAGAGTGCTTCACCGACTTCCTGCTTCCCATGCTGGAGCTGATCCCTGAGAAGAGAGCCACAGCCGCCGAGTGCTTGCGCCACCCGTGGCTCACCCGCTAGTGGAGACCTCTGGCCTTTGCACCTCCCTCTCCTCCCACTTTTCTCCAGAGACTGCAACAGATCACTTTCCACTTTGGACATATCAGATAAATATTTATTTCTCTTTATGTTTTGTTGTTTTGAATTTCTTATGTTATTGTTATTGATCTGATGCTTCTGTGTACGTTTGCTTAGTATTTGTTGGTTCTTCTCTCAGTGTCATGATGTCAGGAATTCAGTGGATTATATTACTTTGTGATCATGTTGGCTTCAACTGCTGTTCTCCGTTCACCAACCCAACTAAGCAAACCTGTTACTGTAACGCTAGTGACTCATCCTTGTTTGTTACACTCCTGCACTAAAACCCAAACAAATCAAGGATATGTAGCCTTTATTGGTCATTTTTGTCCCTTTGAAAAGGACTCGATCACTCTTTTCCTCATACATTTTCATTCAGTGCTGTGTTCTGTTTTTAAAATTTTATCTTGTATTACACACGTACGGTATACATTTTGTAGTTGTAAAGTAGGCTTAGGAAGTTCCACACTGGGCTGACATTTACACTGACTGTGGAAATGTTCGCAGCATTTCTCCAGATTCTAGTTTTTTATTGAGACGACCACTGTCCATAAAAGTAGGGCATGTTATTTAGCCATAACGAGCCGCTGTCCATTGGTGTTTAGTGTGGTTAGTTATATTAAATGAGATTTTTCATTCTCATGGGAGGCTGGTATTCTCATACACTTATTACAATTCAGGAGTATAGTGTTATAAAGGTTTCACCAAGGCAACATGTTAAGAAGCCCAATCTAAAGGAAAAAAAAAAGTGAAAATAAACTGTATATATCTGTACCAAAGAGTTTGCCTTTATGTATATTATAGTTATGTACAGTTTTTAACAAATCTTATATCTTAGCTAAAGTTATTTAGCAGGGTAGTTGTGTTTTAATAAAGGTGTATGGAAGATGTTTGAGCTCAGTTGTATGTATGGCAGTCTGTTCAATAATGTCTCTGTTTTTACCATAGAAACGATGAGATATGATGCTATATAATGATTTCCCAAATTGATGAAATCACATTTAACCTATATATCTGTTGAAGCCTAGGTGAAAACAGAATTTACATTTATGTCTCATCAAGAACATAGACTTTGTGTGAGCTGTTGATTTACACAACTGCAACACCATACAATAAAACAGATGTTCATACAATACAAGGTGACTGTGCCAAGCTGGTTTCTCTGAGTTTATTACATTTTGACATGAAGTGCAAAATTACAAATGTGCAGTCGGATACTGTGGTTTTGGAAGCAGTAAAGGACTACAAATCTGTTTAATTACAACTTAGGGAACCATAAGGTGTCAAGATGCCTGAATGAAGTCAAAGTACATCAGTATCATGTCATTCTGCATGTTCATCAGGGGTTTTCTGTAAAAGAAGAGACATATTTTTTTATTTAATCAAGATACTGGGCCTTTGCTGGCTACAAACAACTTCATGATACTTGTTACTATAAAGCATCCAAGCAAAACTTTAAGCTAAAGTATATTAACTTCTTTCTTCAGAACCCAAAGGAAAATGCATAACAGCATCCTTGTAGCATCCAAGGGAGGATGTGGATGTATGAAGTAAGTAAATAAAATGATCAATACAAAAGTCAATATGATCCCATTGTTAAATTATCCTATCTGCAACAATATACAAAAAAGTTATACAACAAACCACCACCACTCCTAGATTCCATCTTAATAATCAGAAGTATATAGACTGTAGGAAAGCCAGGGAAGCAATCCAATTAGGACAGTTTAAAGTAGTCAGGGAAAAGTCAAACATTACAATTTCCATGACAACTGGAGAACACCCAAAGATTATATAATGTAATCAAAACCTCCAAAATAGATACCAAACAGGCCTTAAGTTGAATTGTTTTGTCAGCTGCTTGTGTCCAGGGTCCTCTGATATGATTTGTAACAGGAGGAAAATCAAAGGAATTATTGGTGGCTGAATTGAGCTGCTTCATTTTCAGGGTCCTGGTGCTGTGCATGCTGGCTGTCATGGCCTGCTGGGATACTGAATGGAACTGAGCCATTTCTGTGAACATGTCTGCTGTGGAACAAGACTACGGCCAACAAGCTCATGGGCAGAGGCAGTAACTACCCTGCTTTGTTCTACACCTGCAATCGTCACCTGTTTCCATTAACCCTCACCTGCTCCCTCCACCTGGAAGTCATCGGGCAGCAGATTGTCCTGCCGGCTGCCAAGGGTGAAGGACAGAAATGCCAGTAGGAGGGCATCCAGAATGCTGATGATGGCCAGGATGTAGGCCCAGCGTATCGTGCAGTTCCCCAGGGTGTACTTATCTGTCTTCTGGCCACACATCCTCTTCACCTCCGCGGAGTCCCAGCCGTCTGGGTAGATCATGCAGCCCATCACCATTAACACAGCTGCGAGGGAAGGAGAACACTGAAATGGCAGAACCTTGGAATGACACCTCTTGTGGGCTCTTACTATGATAAATAATTATGAGCGAGGGGTTTTTCTTAGCCCCAAGGATATGACCTGATGAGCCCTCATAATGTGCCAAAGGTTTAAATGGTGCAGCAGGGCAAGTGTGTTTAGTGGTGCTGTTCCTATTAGGAAACCTCTGAAATGTTCAATTCCATTCATCTGCTTAAATTTACAGCACAAACAAATTAAAAACTGAAGTTAGATTTACTCAAGATCTGTACTAAGGTAAAATTTTGTGGCACTTGAGTTAATTAATTTTGTTACTTTATAGTTTTTACTTTATACATTTACCTTTTACTGAAATGCACTTCCTTAAAATATTTAGTTACTGGTCCAAACATATGATAAGATGATTACATGAAACAAATATCTAAGATTAAACCAGTGGTTATCAAGACTTTGGCTTGAGATCCCTCACAAAAAAACTAACCTTTATCTTCTTGACAAAATATTTCAGATGTCTCACAGATGTTATGTCACAAACAAACAGAAATTTCTCATCTAAACTTCTTAGACTGTCTTATTTAGATAACTGAGGCTCAAAGAGATCAAACTATCTAATATTTGACAAACATGCAAAGATTAGGTAAAAGTAAAGAAAATGAAAATAGACGTGTCAGAATTTAGTTTTTGCCTCATTCCTCACATCCCCTTTTAGAAGGGCCTGAAGAAGGTTGGGACTAAGCTACCTGACTCTAACCAGAGTATATAAACTAGTTCTACCTTAACAGGCTGTATCAGTCACATGTTGCTTACACTGTTGCATCATTATTAAAAATCTAATAATATCACACATAGTGTTGTACTGTATCCGTCACAGGGTACGTCTGATACTACCTCTGTACCTTTACCTAAGTGAGATTTTAAATCCATGGCTTTTAGTTGTATAGGATGGTTTTACATTGTTTTACTACTGTTTTATTTGATCTGAATACTTCTCCCACCACTGGTTGTATACAGTAGGTCCTTATCATGTTAGACTAGTTTCTGTGCCCCTGGTATGTTTCAGGTGCAAGTTGCAACACCTGATCTTATTACATGTAACCAATCCACCATCAGAGGTGTCAAAGTCTGTACTGAAAGCCAATCCCTTGTTGGCTTCCACAGTGAACACATCACGTCTGAAACCAGAGAGGTGAGAAGGTGACGCATGACGGGACGAGTTCATCACCTCACACTCAACATGGAGGGCAGCTCTCATGCGAAGCACAGATCTCACTCATTCTTTTACATTCAGGTGATGAACTTTGGTAAAGAGCTTTAAAAACAATGCTGTGCTTTCTTTGAATAAGTAGAAGCTGATACTAAAGCAACTATAAGGTTTTCATTAAATTATAATAAGCAGCAGAATAATTAGCCTTTTTTTATGCTTCTCCACAGCCTGTGACCTTTGACCCTGGCCAACATTTTCAACTGGAGTGAGACCCAGCCATCACTGGGTGAGAGGTGGGGTACACCCTGGACGGGTCACCATGTATCACAGGGTTGACACTTAGATAATCACTTACACTAACACCCACAGGCAAATTTAGAGTCACCAATTCACCTAGCCTACATGTCTTTGGACTGTGGTAGGAAGCCGAGGTACTCAGGGAAAACCCAAGCAGGCAGAAGTGAGAACATGCAAACTCCACCTAGAAAGACCCTGGTCGGCTGCAAGGTTCAGACCCTTTTTACTGTGAGGAGACAGTGCTAACCATTGCTTCACTGTGCCTCCCAAAATGAACATCAATAGATGCCATTTCAAACGTGCAGAATTTGTTGTAACATACTTTCTGTGGTGCTGGGTGCTAGAGAAAAGTTATTTACTAAAGTTTGTTTTTAACAGAATACGTAAATATCAATAATGTGAAGTTATTTTTTAGTTAAATGACAATATGTTGGTCAGGCACATAGAAGAGTTTTTTTTTATTCCTCTGTCTCCCAGCTTCATTTTCATAGTTCGTATTTTAATATTAATACTGGATTGCAAAATGAAGCGTGACCGAATCATACTCTACAAAATGATACAATGATACTTATTTATTGATTTTATTTACCCTAATGTAGTCATGTTTATTTTGGCACTAAATGTCAGCATAGCACTAGTAATGCCCCTGTGTAAAAATACTTTATTAGATGTAAAAGGCCTTTCAAAAATCATTTCAAGTAAGTATTATTAGCAAAATGGGTTTTAAGTGTCAAAATAAAAAGTACATATTCAGAATAGACTCTTTCACAGTGTTGCATTATTACAAATAATATAGAATTATTGATGCACAGATATGTAAGCAGCCTTTTAATGTACAATAGCAGGTGGAGCTCCACTACCTTCTAATCAATAACTATGCCTCATACTTTATCCACTGATCTTATTTTTGTGTAAAATCTTAATCTGAACAATATCTAAATTTATTGGAATAAAAAGCAGCCTAAAATGTTACCTGTGGAATGTAGTTAGAAGCATAACCAAAATAAAGACGACATACTTTAAAGTTTCCACTTGGCACACTCTTGCCCACCTGAGGCCAGCTGCATCCATGCACAAATCCTGTAGACGTTCCCGGCGTTGCAGAAATAGAACAAGCTGAAACAGACCATGGTGGCTACGATCAGGAGCACGGAGGTCCCAACGAAGAACATGGAAGTCCTGAAGGCCGGTGAAGGGATGGAGCCGAAGTCCAGCGGGCTGCCCTTACAGATGAGCTCCGAGGTCAGCGCGTTGCCGATGCAGTAGTAGAAGAGGCCGAAGTAGCCGGCCTGCGGGGTGTCCACGCTGTCCCCGATCCAGTAGGGCTGGATGAAAACCACCACGGTGATGATGGAGAAGCAGATGGTGAACACAGCCCACATGACTCCGATGGCTCGGGAGTTTCTCACATAGTTGGTGTGGTAGATTTTAGCTGCCTCCTGGGCTGGAAGCAGGTCCATGTTACCGAGCAGAAAGAAGACAAACGTGCACTAAACTTTCGAGTCTTCATACACACCACAGCGGTCACATCTGTCGCTTCCTCTGGTTTCTCTGCACTGAAAGACGTGTGTCAGGATTCAGCACCCTGGACAGCACCTCGCCTCTCTACTTAACCAAGCGGATCTGACGTCAGACATCCACAGGTAGGCTACCTGACAGCGTGGCGTCACAGACTGAATTAAAGTGAAGAAAAGTAACCAAGGAGCTACTTTTTTCCACTAAATAATCGGGGTTTCCCCCATGTAGAGCTGCAATTTAACAGTTCATGTCAACTAGGAAGGAAACTCGTGCACTGACGTTTGCTAGTTTTCTTTGTAATGTAATTTTAGAAAAAGAAACTTTAATGTTAACACATTCTGCGGACTGACCCTTAATTTGCAGCCACTTGTAACTGAGTATGAAACCGCTTAAACCCCAAGGTACTGTATGTCCTTTAAAGACTCCCTAAAATGTTTCTTAAAGTAAGTTATTTGGCTTGTTTCTCATAATTCAGACAGGATGTTATTTTATGTTCAAAGTAACTGACAACTAAGAAAACATTATACATTATTGGGTACCAATTTCTGATGAAGTGCCATTTATAAAGGCTTTTGAAGCTGTAATTAATCACTTTGTTATAGTTAGTAAAGTGTGTTTTTAATGCTTTACAGATTAGTCATACAGCTCGGCTTGCTGTAATTGTTCCTTTATGCCATCAACAAACATTTGTCATTCTATAACTGTTAATAAATAATTCATAAAATGTTCTACACAAATCCATCAAAAGTATACCCTAGTAAGATGTTGATGAATGGACTTTATTCCAGATGTGCAGCCCTTTTCTAGAAGGTAAGTGGTCAGACAGTCCAACAGTCTCCATTTACTACAGCTGCTGGAGGCAGCCCTTTCACAACCTGGCAACCCAGACATTTTTGTTATAAGTGACTTATAGCTGATCTATAAAGCTTTAGTAAGGGATTTGTTAATCATTAATAAATCCACTATAGCTCATATACTCTTTATACAAGTGGGATCCATTTCTCAGATGAGGTTATTTTTATAATGTAGATTTACTGTTGTTTTAATTTGTTACAAACTGTATTTGTTCTGGTTTTTAAATTTCATAACACAATGATTAATAAGTTTAAAAACCCATGGATGTATATTCTGCCTGTCAGTTTGATGTGGTGTTGCTGATGCACAGGAAGGTTAAAATAAAAATTTGCTGATCTAAAATTCAATATTTTTCCAGCTGTGCTGCCTTATTGCAGCAGTGCCTATTTGCAAACTTACTGCAGTGACAGGAACACAATAAGGAATTAATTTTGCTAAACAGAAAAGAAACCACTTGGACAGATTAGAGCTTTTGGTTGTTGGGTGCTCAGCTGCATCACTAAATAACACTGAATTCTGTTTTAGCTCAGGACTGGGACATATATGAAAAACCCAGCACTACACAGATGTGTTGCAGCTTTAAATCACACTGCACACTTATGTTAGCCAGAGCCAGTTGGTCTGTGCTGCCTGATACCAAAGCTGAGATCTGTCTGACACTGGTGAGTCAAACCTTCTCTGCTCTCTCTCCATGCTAATTTCACTGATAAGGCACTGTATTCAATACTAGAGAAAAAAAACGCAGCTCCACTTTTCAAATGTATCAGTTTAAATTACCACTGTCTTTTGTGTGAATATAACACTAACTGGTTCCTTCTAACACTTAATTTTTCTTTATATAAACAATTTGGTGTTGAAGCAGATGGAACTTATACCCACTATGATATGGTTTCATAGCTACCATATGCATCATCATAGAAGCACTTCACTAATTTAAATTTGCATTTCATTTTCTACACTCTCTGCTCATTCAACTCAAGCTTGGATTGAAATCAGACAGAACAAAGTTAACATCATTTTGTAACAGAAAAAAAAAACTTAAGATGTTTGATAATGTGACAACTCAAGAGAAACACAATGATGTTTTTACTTGGTGTGTTGCTTGGTGAATATTTTTATTTTAAGCAACATGTTAAAACCCTTATAAAAACTGAGACTAAAGATGAGATTATTGGATTGAACAAAGTCCTCAGGTTAGACCCTGTTTATCACAGTGCATTAAGATTTTTTTTTTTTTTTTACAACTTAAAACCATTAACTCATCACTGTGCTCCTTGCTCCAGAGTTGGCCGTATTGCTGTGATCCTTTTGGGTCACAGGAATATTTTTTATTTATCAAGCTATTCTAGATGAACTTCCCTCATATCTCTGTAAACTCATTTCACAGAGTCTCATCTTCAATTATGATCTTAGATCACAAGACACAAGCCTGCTGTCTGTCCCAGTGTACAGACCGAGATGGGGAAGGAAGAATTCATGTTTTCTGCTCCAGCCATTGGGAACAGTTTGCTGAGAGAAATTTAATGAACAAACCTGGTATCACAGATTGAATTTAGCCTATTATAAACTGAATTTTTTTTTTGTCTTGTCTTTGTTTTTAGCACATTGTAGCTCTCTCGTTGCCAATCGTCTTAGTCTGCTGCTCTGTTCTAAGCCTTATTGAAGGTCTTTGTGCTTTCATTGTTCCATGGTTTCATTGCTTACACACATTATTTTTCAGTTTTTGTTTTTGTGACATTTTTGTGACAGCTCAGGAGGACGACTATAGCTCGAAGCTGACAGGGGCAGCCGGACAGCACACGCCACCACCTGTGTCCGTCACAGTGGTAACAAGCGGCGGTAACAAAGAGCTTCAGGGCCTCTTACATGACACTATGCCATGTGTGGAGACACTATTCAGGGATGAGCGGTTGTCCTGCTTCCTCAGAGTGATCCCTGATGGCTTCCTGCAGCTCAGGAGGGACAGTCATCTGCTGCCAGGGGGGGTACAAGAGAGGGAAACACAATCTCTGCTTGAATGATAGACAGAGAGAAACTGAGAGCAGACGTCACTATATAGAGAAGGTGACTAATCAAAAGCATTATGTGGAGAAAGTCTGGGGGAGCTGCTTCTGAGTACTACTCTAATGAGGCATAATACATGGGACAGCTTCTAAAGAGTCTGAATGTATTGTCAAGATGTGTTGATGGAAATGGTTGAAGTTCGTCAAGGAAGGCATGGACACAAAAACGCACATACCATGCCTTTCTTTAATCTTTTTATTTGTTCTCTGGCATAAAACCTTGTGCCATGTCCACTATAGTTGCATTCAGTCCCCTCAGTTATGAATTATAGGTAACCATGGCCATATACTTTTGACTCAGAGCAGTGCTGTTGCGTTATGACTCCCACATGCAGATGAAACCTCTCTCTTTGTGATTAATCTATCACAGTGAAGGTAATAAAACTTTTTAAAGACTTTATGATTTTAGAGCATCTTCTTAATCAAAGACAGAATCTGACATTTGCAGAAGAGTGTTTAGCTGTCTCACCATTGTCTCACCTTATTACAAACTGAGACACACTCACAGTTTTTATTTTAGAAGTGCCACTGACTCCTGAATATAAACTAAAGCTGCATTTGTTTTTCACTTTACTGAGGAGACTCAAACATTGTTTGCACTGTCTTCTTTGCCTTTCCACCATCTGCCACACTAAAAATTTTAGCTCTTGTTAAGCACTGAAGAGAAGAAAGCCTTCTCATTGTTTTAGTACCATAAATAAATAAATACATTTCTCTTTGTACTGCAGTGCAGCACAGGGAAAAGACTGGAACTGAATTTCTAATTGTACAATTTAACCTCTACAGAATATGTGAAGGTAAAACTGAAGGTCACTTTACTTTTAAAGCTATCTATGTGAAATAATGTGGTCTGAATTCCCCTTTTTGAATTAGTAAAACAGTAACATGCCATGCACGCAGTAACAAGACTAAGAATCTATTGTGTTTAGGTGCAACTGTGCTTTGAGCTAAGTGCTAACATCAGCATGCTAACATGCATGCTCACAGTGACAATGCATGGTCAGGGTGTAAGACGTATAATGTTGACATTTATAAAACCAAGACTTTCAATAATACTCAAATCATAAAGAATACATTTACTCCAAAAAGGACAAAGATGGCTATATTATCCAGTGTTTGGTTTTACTTTAAAATCATCATCAGGAGCACAGGAAATGCAGTAGCAGACTGGTGACTAATGGAAAAACTGGAATACTGGATCCCTACAGTGAGGGGAGGGGATCCAGTGTCATACTGCAAATCAATGCAAAGTTGTTCTGATGATGAAACATCCACAGGGCACGAGGGGTCACTGAATGGTTTGATGAGTATGAAAATGGTGTGAATCATACACAGTAGCCTTCACAGTCACCAGAACTCAACCCAGTCGAACACTTATGGGAGATGTTGGAGCAACATGTTAGACAGCGTCTCCAACACCATCATCAAAACACCAGATAAGGGAACATCTTTTGGAAGAATGGCATTCATCCCTCCAGCAGAATTCAGAGACTTGTAGAGTCAATGCTGAGGAGCACTGAAGCTGTTCTGGTGGCATGTGGTGGCCCAGCACCTTACTGACACACTTTATGTTGGTTTTTCCTTTCATTTGTCACCAATCTGTATAAACCTTCCTTGAACAGTGAGTGTGAGCACTGTTTGTAAATTTGTGCTGCTGTTGAATCTCTCATGCTGTGCAGACCTGTGATATCATCAGTTTAATATTAGCTGCCATCTTTGCCTGCTCCTGACAACAGTCTTAGAGTAAAAACAAGTCTGAGAATGTTGTCATTGTCCACCTAGAGGGGAAAATGAATGTCTGTACAGCATTTCATGTCAATTCATCCAGTAGCTGTTGAGACATTTTACTCAAAACTACAAATGTCAGCCTCATGGTGGCACTAGATGAAAAGTCAGGACTTATTTACATTCATTGGGGCACTAATCCAGCAAGTAGATAAGTAAAAATAGACCTGCTGGTGGTGCTAGAGGAAATCTCTGACTATTGCCAGGATCAGTAGGCTTCATTTTCTGGACACCATGAAGGTCTGCATTAAATTTAATGGAAATTCATCCAATAGTTATTGAAATATTTATGTCTGATCTGAAGTGGTGACCTCCTGAAACTGACATCCACTGTCAATCCAGTCCTGTCTAATCAAAACAAGTCATCTTAATTA